ATTTTGCTTTTTTAAAAAAGTAGTTATTAGTAATTAATAACACAAACTATATTGCTAGAGTCAGACACGACTGGACTAAAAATGTCAAGGGGAACCTTTACCTTTAAACTATTAAGTATGGAGTTCCCTTTCTCTTCTTCAGTCACAACTAGTATGCAAACACCATGATAAATTTCAGTGTGTGTTTTTCAGCTTCTGTGTGATAATCAGGTGAAACCATGGTACAGACTAAAGATACTATTGCTTCTGAATACAAGCAATCAGGGACAAGCAGGATGTGGCTACTATCTTCTTAATTAAATTCTAAGTTTGAAGCAGTGTTGGAGAGATGAACAATCATTATTTCAGTTCTACAGGGCTCTCATTATAACAGCTTTCCACAAAATGAGATCCCTCCAGAAATTCTGAAGTATAATTTCCACCATCCACATCTAGTGTCAGAAATCATATATATCCAGAACTCAGAACTAATACCTCTGGATTACAATTCCAAAGTCCTCTTGCTAGCAACTGATCAACTTTAGACCAAAAGCTATAAATGGGTGTGAATGTTGTAATTCAAAAAGTAAATGTCATATTTATATCTCCACTTTCTGGAAGTCCTTCCAGTATGTCTTACAATTATCAGCAACCATCAGAACCAGAGATCACAACAAACTTTTTTTTTAAAAAAATCTGGATCGTAGAAAGTAGAAACAGTGGTGCCTCGCTTAACGGGTGCTCCGTTTAGTGACGAAATCGCTTAGCAATGACTTTTATGGAGCGTTTTTGCGCTTCATTTAGCAATGGTCCCTATGGGCGATTTTCGCTTAGCGATGGTTGGGACCATGCTTCGCATAGCGATTACATTTTAGGTCCCCTGTTTCGCTTAACGATGGTTTAAGTTTAAACAGCCTCATGTTTGCTGTTTTTTAAATGTTTTTCTGTTATTTATAAAGTTAAAGTTTACTGTTTAAAATGTTTGAAATCATAAAGTGCACTTAATAAACCCTTTGTTAACCAAATTTGACTTTGTTCTGACTCTTTAATTTGTTGTTGTATTTTTTCCCCCATTGAGGAAATAAGTTTCAATGCATTTCAATTGGGGAACCGTGTTTCGCTTAGCGATGTTTCCTATGGCGATTTTTGCTTAAGGATGGCAATTCGTTCCTATTGGAATGGATTATCTGGTTTTCAATGGGAAACCACATTTCGCTTAGCGATGAAATTGCTTAGCAGCGATTTTTTTGGAATGAATTAACATCGCTAAGCGAGGCACCACTGTATATGACAAATGGCCGCCAGGGAATAGTGGCAAGAAGTCTATCAAGAGAAGGCTTAGAAGTACATACAATTTGCCTGCCTGCCTGCCTCTCTCTTCTGGAATTACTCTCACAAAGCAATAGGTGGTAGAGGACAACCCAGCTGCTGTGAGCTTTTAGATGGTAATGCTCTGCCTGTTCCTTCTTTTGTTCCTCAAAATATCTGAAGTTATCAGGAGACCCACAGCTAATATTATTTCAATTAAAAGCCTTCTGGAACAGGAAGGTTTTGACCTGGCGCCGAAATGTCATCAGCGTCGGCGCCAGACGAATCTCAGTCGGGAGGGCATTCCATAGTCTGGGGGCAGCTGCCGAAAAGGCCCTTTGTCTACAAACCGTCCCTCTTACCTCCTTAAGGGACGGCTCTTTCAAAAGGGCCCCCTGGCTAGATGGTAATGCTCTGCCTGTTTCTTCTTTTGTTCCTCAAAATATTTGAAGTTATCAGTTTGGGAGAGCCTGGTTTATGAAAACCATGACTTGATTAACAGTACTTGACCCCTTGATTACATATTTTGTTGAACAGATCTATTGTTCTAAAGACCCCTCTAAAAACAGCAAGCATAACACAGAAGGCAGTGCCAGTTGTTTAACAGTCCTAAGGAGCTCATCTGCAATTGCACAATCCAAATAAAACCTTTGAAAAAAAAAGAAGCACAGAGAATTGAGGTTGTATTTATACAGGACCCTGCCAAATAGTTTAATGTTGCCGTTTCTTATAAAAGTTAAGGAAGCCTGATTAGTCTGGAAATAGTACACAACCTAAAGGTTGTAGAAGAGCCAAAAACAACAGAAACTATAATGCAAAATTTAACAAAGGGAACTGGCAAGTTATGGAGAGCTTGGAGACATCATGCCAAACAAGCAGAATTATTTATGGCATATTAGTGGGAAAGAACACTTTGTCAGAAAGCAAGGAGGCCCTTGAGAAAACAGATAAAGTCTATGCAATTCATATTCAATAAGTTTTTCTCTAGATACCATCTATGATTCTCCTGTCTCATTTTCCACAAAAACTAGCTTGTTATATATGAACCAGAGGTGGAGATTTAAAGACCCAGGTTCAAACCAAGGACCGATTAGCAGGCTTGTACTGCTAACAAGGGTTTACTGAGAGCCAAAAACAACAGAAACTATAATGCAAAATTTAACAAAGGGAACTGGCAAGTTATGGAGAGCTTGGAGACATCATGCCAAACAAGCAGAATTATTTATGGCATATTAGTGGGAAAGAACACTTTGTCAGAAAGCAAGGAGGCCCTTGAGAAAACAGATAAAGTCTATGCAATTCATATTCAATAAGTTTTTCTCTAGATACCATCTATGATTCTCTCATTTCATTTTCCACAAAAGCTAGCTTGTTATATATGAACCAGAGGTTGAGATTTAAAGAAACAGGTTCAAACCAAGGACCGATTAGCAGGCTTGCACTGCTAACAAGGGTTTATTTTAAATCACAATTGCTAGTTTGTTGCAGCAAGCCAGCTTTTGGAAAAGTGCAATGAAATTCAGCTAAAGTTCACCAGCCACAAAATTTGGCAGCGTTGACATGTACATAGATTTCCCAAATACTCCTAAACCATGGTTATCTATATTTAGTGCTAGATTCAGTTTTTAAAAGCAAAACCATTGACTCCAGTCACAGAAGACTGGGAATCAATAAGCAGCACTCTGAAAAGCTATCATGTAAGTGGATAAATCACTATCCAGATCACAGAAATAAAATGTCATGTACAAAAGCAGGGAAAAGACAACTGAGACATCAAGTTTTAAATGTTTATTTATGAATACAACAAATATTTATTTGGGCTTTAAACAGACTCTGAAACTATACCATGATTAAATGGATCTCATTGGCACAAACTACTCTCTCTCTCTCTCTCTCTCTCTCTCTCTCTCTCTCTCTCTCTAGTATAAACCCTGACCAGAACACCCAAATACTAAACCATGGTTATCTATATTTAGTGCTATATTCAGTTTTTAAAAGCAAAACCATTGACTCCAGTCACAGAAGACTGGGAATCAATAAGCAGCACTCTGAAAAGCTATCATGTAAGTGGATAAATCGCTATCCAGATCACAGAAATAAAATGTTATGTACAAAAACAGGGAAAAGACAACTGAGACATCAAGTTTTAAATGTTTATTTATGAATACAACAAATATTTATTTGGGCTTTAAACAGACTCTGAAACTATACCATGATTAAATGGATCTCATTGGCACAAACTACACACACACACACACTCTATTATAAACCCTGACCAGAACACTGTTGAAAGCAAATTTTATTTTTTGTCATTGATCTTTTACAAGGTCCTGTGAATAATATGTCCAAAGTAAAATTAGCCAAAACAGAGATTAACATAAACAATATGTGTGCAATGCTTTCACTATCATCCAGACTAGATGGTCAAAGCAACACTGAATAAAAGTTCAGAAACAGTGGCAAACATTGGCTTTAGCAGAACCAATTATATCTTCATTCTGATCATTTCCAGAGCCTCAGTCCAGACACAAATGTCAACACATCTCCCTCTACATAAGAGTCACATATTGTTATGATGAAAAATACTTCTCAGCAGTAAATCCTAAGTCAAGGACAGCTTGTTATCAGTGACATACATAGGATTAAAAACAGTTACACAACATATGTAAAAATCTTTCCAAAGAGTTTGCAAGGCATTGCCATATCCTAACAATCTCAGTCGTGAACACAACTGAGAGATTAATATATACTACATAGATACAAGACTTTGGGTGCTGCAATTTAATCTTTTTGAAGGTTTTTTTAAGGATCAAAAAGGGGGAATAACTGTATGCAAGGTAAGTATTCTCTGGCTGAAATTATCTTCCACAACTACATGCCCATAAATCCTGATGATGTTATCAACTGCAGATATTAATCGCTATGTAAACTTTTCCTACCCCAGCCCCCACATTTTGAGCAGAAGCCTAAGTCCTAAGTCAAGGACAGCTTGTTATCAGTGACATACATAGGATTAAAAACAGTTACACAACATATGTAAAAATCTTTCCAAAGAGTTTGCAAGGCATTGCCATATCCTAACAATCTCCATTGTGAACACAACTGAGAGATTAATATATACTACATAGATACAAGACTTTGGGTGCTGCAATTTAATCTTTTTGAATGTTTTTTTAAGGAACAAAAAGGGGGAATAACTGTATGCAAGGTAACTATTCTCTGGCTGAAATTATCTTCCACCACTACATGCACATAAATCCTGATGATGTTTGTTATCAACTGCAGATATTAATCGCTATGTAAACTTTTCCTACCCCAGCCCCCACATTTTGAGGCTTTCTAGAGAACCTTTTGGGCATAGGAAAGCCATTGGGAGCCTCATAATTGGGTGAGGGGAGCCTCTAACACCTGGGACTAGCAAAAGTGATTTTGGGGCATTAAAGGGTCCCCCTTTCCAAAGCTTTCAAACGCTTCTCCAAGTCAAAAGAGATCTTTAGGGAGTCTTCGAACCATGGGCCTGGGAGAAGGATTGAAAACTTTAAAATAACAATTAACATCCATTGCTGATGACATCATCAGGATTTATGCACACAGCTGCACAAGATTTCAATCTCTAGAGGGATTTATGCACACAGCTGCACAAGATTTCAGTCTCTAGTGGACAACACTTGTCACCCATCCTATACAGCAGCATAAGAGCATTTTGCTTTTACCTCCTCTTCTTTGCGAATGTTACACTGTACAGGCGTCACCTGGGCAGCATTTGTAGATGGAATTTTGGCAGCTAGCTCTTTTGCCACAGCTTTTAATCTGTCAAGTTTGCGAGATGCAATGACTACATTACAACCTGTCAAGATAAAACCAGATGCATTTTTGACATTAATAATAGTTGCATAATATTTTGGATAGAATCAAGAAGATTTCTTGATCATATTTCACACTGAATATAGACTGAAATAACTGTTCTCCTTTATCACTTTCCAGGCCATCAAGCAGTTTCAGCAGTTCCAGAAATCTATACAGATGAATAGATGAAACCTAAAAGCATCTATAACCCAATGTTTAGCTTGAAATTGTACTCTACCGATTCCTAGAGTGGAAAAAGATTTCACAGCAATTTCCTAAGCCTATTATGAAACGTTATTAATAGGACATGAAACAAGGATAATACCAACAGAGGAAAAAAATGATCTTTTTCAAGTCAGTTCACACATATTCAGAAACAGAGCATTTTGAATTTAACACCTGCATAATTTGCTAATACTGTATATAGGAAGAAACAACACCACTGAATGTAGCTTTCAGGGAACTGGACAGAAATAACCAAACTGCCAATTTCAAAGACATGTAAGGAAATCTTAGGACACATGACAAACTATACCATGGAAATACCATTGTAAGATGATCAGTTGTGGCTTAGCATCCAGATAGATCACATCCTAATTTGAAACAGGGAATACTGTATGATGTAGCATGGTACAGTATTCAATGGCAAAGATGCTGCCTACCCCTTCTATCCATCAAAGGACTTTCAGAATCTTTAGCAGATAAAGCTTTTTGTGGTTTTTTTTTAATGTATTTTTCCTTTGTTTTTTTTTTTAACCCCATACAAGAGCAAAGCTCTGTTGCTATCAACAAGGCCATCTCCAGCTTGAGAAACTGCACATCAGATATCACCAATTCAACCACAGTTCTTCACATATGAAGCCATTGCATCTCATATCTGCAAACATAATTCTGTCTGTTATATAACTGAAACAAGGCACACGAATATGATAAATATGAGTAACTCATTTTGATCGTACCAATCACTTTCACTGTTGCTCAGAGGATGACATTCTGTTTGTGCAACATCCATCACATAAAGCTGATGGCATCAGTAGCAATTTTCCAGAAATTAAACATTTGTGACTACTCTCCCAAAGGTCCGGAGACTACCTTATATAGTAATCCCTTTCATTGTTAGAAAGTCATGATAGGAAGAGGATGAAAGGAGCAAGTCTTTAACTATTGAACATCAACACTGCAAGAATGACTTTATTGGTGATTTTTCATAATTAAAGACATCTTCCTATTGTCCCACTGCCCCCATGGCTTCTCAACAATGAAAGGGACTATACAGGAGCCTTAATACTTTTGCGAGAGTTGAATTTTTTTACTGTGAAAAAAAAAATCCACATCAAAACCCAGAACCAAATCACTGCCGCTGGTGACATAACCAGCCTTACACAGCAAAATTTATGCCAACAGGATTTTAGCCAGAGTCTAGTTATTAATCACCTATGAGTACAGTTTAAAGAAGCAGAGTACACAAGAACCCTTTTTCCTGGAGCTAATCTTATAATCACTGATTAAGATGAAGTATTAATCTCTCAACCAAATGACCAAGAGTTGCAGCTGAATAATAAGTAGCCTGTTAACATACAGCACAATGCTGCCAAATTGCAAAAGGAGGGAGCATGTAACAGATGGAAGACAGATGCAGTTGCCTGAAGCTATCAAACATTATTGTCCCTACTTCAGTAGTACAATAAAAAAAAGTACACAAGAACCCTTTTTCCTGGAGCTAATCTTATAATCACTGATTAAGATGAAGTATTAATCTCTCAACCAAATGACCAAGTGTTGCAGCTGAATAATAAGTAGCCTGTTAACACACAGCACAATGCTGCCAAATTGCAAAAGGAGGGAGCATGCAACAGATGGAAGACAGATGCAGTTGCCTGAAGCTATCAAACATTATTGTCCCTACTCCAGTAGTACAGCAAAAGAACACCTTAGAAAGAGTATGTGTGTATATGGGGTGCAATGTTACATAGTATAAAAGAAACATGGAAGCTGGGGGTGTGTCTAGAGCCCAGATCCTTACTGTAGATATTTGCTGACTTGCGTGTTACTAATATAGGAGAAAGTTTTGCAAGTATTCTGATTCAGAATACAGTACACTACTGGAACGCAAAGATATATGAAAGTCTAAATTCAAGCAGCAGATTTTCATACCAAGGTTCTCTTTCAGAACTGTGCAACCATACTACTCCGTGTGTGTTAGACTAGACAGCACCTCCTATGCTAGAAGAGAGGACACCGTTGTTAAATGAAAAGTGATTTTACATATTTGCTGACTTGCGTGTTACTAATATAGGAGAAAGTTTTGCAAGAATTCTGAACCAGAGTACAGTACACTACTGGAACGCAAAGATATATGAAAGTCCAAATTCAAGCAGCAGATTTTCATACCAAGGTTATCCTGGTTCCAAATCACTTTCAGAACTGTGCAACCATACTACTCCGTGTGTGTTAGACTAGACAGCACCTCCTATGCTAGAAGAGGGTGATTTTATTTGCAAGTATTCTGATTCAGAATACAGTACACTACTGGAACGCAAAGATATATGAAAGTCTAAATTCAAGCAGCAGATTTTCATACCAAGGTTCTCTTTCAGAACTGTGCAACCATACTACTCCGTGTGTGTTAGACTAGACAGCACCTCCTATGCTAGAAGAGGGTGATTTTATACAATTATGGCTTAATAAAATAACGCAGCAATAGAACTATGCTGCTTTTTAAACCAAAAAGAATGATGAGTTTATGTTCCTGAGGTTTCATCTTCTCTACGTATTCCTTCACTCCCAACTCATTAAAACAGTTGCAAAGCTTCTCTAGGATTTGGGTGGACTTCCAAGCACAATCACAGATACTAGCCAACACTGTCTTACAACATCAAGCATAGGCATGTCAGATCAGTTTTCTCTTATGAAAGGAAAAAGTGAGATTTCCTCAGATACCATTTGAAATGCAGGAAAAACCTGTAGTACCAGCTTGATGGGATACTATACGGAACCCTGACAGATGCAATTTTGCTATGTGGCATCATTACTCTCAGAATGTTATCTCTGCATATAGCTAAGAAGTAGTAGCTATGGTCTATATCAGACCTGGGCAAAGTGCAGGCCGAGGACCAGATACGGCCCGCGAGGCGCTCCTGTCCGGCCTGCGGACAGTTTTGAACATCAAAACCATGTATAGCATTTTGTCTAAAGTTGATCAGTTGCTTATCTTTAACATACCGCAAAAAAACTCTTTAGTATTTGTGAAGATTAACAAGTTTAAAATAAAAACAATCATAACATCTGTTTCATTTTATTTTTACGTAAAGTTGGTTCAGCCCCTGAACACAGTTCAGATTTTTCATGTGGCCCCCTATAGAAATTAATTGCCCACCCCTGGTCTATATTTTACAGACAAGCCTCATGCGAGTCACAATGTCCCATTTTGGAACAAATGAGTAACACTAAACTGAGACAATAGAAGCAAAAAGATCTTTTAATACACAGGCTTCACTTACCGAAAACTAATGCCTAACAAAGCACACCTGTCATATTTGAATATAACATTACATAAGAACATCCTTTAACATACAATGTATAAATTAAGCATTTCCAGAATACCAATCCTTTGACTAAGGAGCTGTCATAATCTCTAGATCAATCATGCACATGCCACACAGGCTGTGGATTATAGGAACTGTAGTCATAAACATGCAGCATGTATTAGGAGGCAGTCCTGAAAGTCAAGGATTCAAACAGTGCTGGAAATTCAGTGGATTTTGCACAGAGGGAAGACGAAGGGAGAAACAGAGCAAAGCTTTACTGTACTTTCTCTGAAGCCCATCTCCACATTCATCTGCTCCTCTTATGCAAATAGGCTTCCTTCCTACCCACTACTTTGCATTAAAGCACCAACTAAATCACAAGCACCTTCTTTCTACACTATAGTGAACCCTCAGGGCCTCTGGGGATCTGCAATGTTTTCGTTCCTAATCCTGAAGTTCTTTTAAAAGGATTGGTCTTGATACTTCACCGCAAAGTGTGTGAACTCAAGGTACCTGGAGGCCCCAATTTCTCCCTCCCCTATTCCAGATTAGCCCAAGGTTGGTTGATGTCTGACCCGTCCAGCAAGGCTCCTAGTGCCTGCTACTGCATCTTCACAGCTTTAAAAAAAATCGAAGCCATCCCAGTTACTGCAATGGGATGGCGGGTGGGGCGGGCACCGCTGTGGACCTCCCACCAGCCCGATTAAGGCCCATAAGCATCGCAAGGCAGCAAGGGGCACCCCAGTTTTAGCAGCAAGGGCCCCCTGCTCCACCTCCACTCCTTCCCTGCCAAGTGCTCCACTCCCACTTGGTTTTGGGAGGTCCCCGGCGTTTCTCCCCCTCCTTTCGGCTCGTCTTTTTTCCCCACCGAGCTGCAGCAGGTCCGCAGCAATCGCCTTGCCAACAGGAGACCCCGGGGCCCGCCGCTCCTGCTGGACGCCGCCGCCGCCATCTTGGGAAACTCGGTTCCAAAAGTCCGAAGTCTCTCTCAAGAGCCCCCAAGGAGCCCTTCTCAGCGGGGAAAGGGGGGAGGGCCACGTGACCGACCTGTCGCGCCCTCGGCCCCGCCCCTTTCTCCTCCTCTCCCCGAATGGAACCACCCACGTGGGAGGGCTCCCCGAGGGGGCGCTGGCGCTGCTTGAACTCGGGGGTGGGGGGGCGTGGAGGGCGTCCTCATTCAAGTGCAGATCCAATGGGATCCCTCCAGGACCCTGATCTTCCCTTATTGCGCTAGAAGGGGGTGGGGTGGGGGTCGCCAGAGGCAGTAAGATCGCCCCCCCCGCCCCCACAGCATCCTTCCATAATACAAAAGGTCTGTCCCAGCCTGGTCCCTATTTGTGTGTATGTGTGTGTCTTTCTCTGCCTTTATTGTAGGGGAAAGACTAGAGGGGTGGGGTGGGGTCGGGGACACATCTCCCCTTGTTCTTCCGCCATGGAGCTTCAGAACCGCTGAGCCTGCCTCCGGGTTCTTCCCCGAGGAGGTGTGTGTGTGTGTGTGGGGGGCGTCCAATCATCCCTCCATCCAAGCGCTGCAGCCTAAGAAAGGGCAGGAGCGCCCCATCTTCCCCACCCATCCCTCTCTTGCCCACCCGCCAGTAGGAAGAGCCACCGGCAGAGGCGGGATCGCGTAGCTTTTACAGCAGATCCCTTCCAAATGGGGGGAGCTCCCCCGATACCACTGATGCCCACCCGTCGGACAGCTGGTCGCCCGGCGTCTCCTTTGCAAAGGATCCGCTGGGATGAGGTGGGTGGAGAGGCCGCCTTGGCCTGCCGGCGGTAACTTGGCCGGGCTGAGGAGGCGCGGGTGGCGGCGGAGCAGGCAGGGACGCGGCTTGTCTTCCCCAGGAGGCTGAGAGTACAGAGCCTCCGCCATCCCTGGTGCCCACGGAGAGGCCAGCCCACCGGTACGTCGGGGCGGAGGCGGTTTCCAGGTCGACCTGCAGGCCTTGCGGATGTCGCAGGAGCAGGTAAGCACGCGCGGGATGCCCGGGGATGTTCGTGGCTCACTAGAATTTGGAGGAGCGGGTATGCCCCCCCTCTTTGTATACAGTATTAACATACTGGGTGCACTGCAAACCCATCGGCCTTTTCTCCCCTCTACACCTCTTTTTTGTATGGGGCTTTGTTCTAAAAAGGCAGGCAAGATGCACTCATTACCCCACATAAGTAATTCGTGTTGTGAAAGATGTGACAGATCTTATCCTTCTGAATAACTTAATGCTTTCTCCCCACCTTCCATGGTGTCCCTGAATGATGTTCTGAAAGAAGATGCACCCACTGTTCCCGAATACAGTGAGGGAGCCCTTAGGATGGTAAATGTGAACATATGGAATTGTTGAAGTGATTTCTCAGCTGAAAGCAATGTTGGGATATATGGAGGTTCCTTGACAATTTGAGGGCCCCAACAGGGGAGTCCATTATACAATATATTTAAAGGGAAAGGGGTAGGGTTGCAAGCCAGTTCACAGGTTAAAAGTGTTAGGTGGGTTGGGTTTTTAATGTGTGGCATGGATGGCGCATGACCACAAGTGAAGTCTGAGCTACAAATATCTTTCCTTGTGTATTTGAATTGTGAAGCTATATTATGTCTGTCGGTCTACTAACAGGGTTTTTAATGTGTGGCATGGACTACAAATATATTTCCTTGTGTATTTGGTTTGTGAAGTTCTTGAGTAAGGCCATTGGTATCAATTAAATAAATTGGATTTACTTACAAGGCATTAGCTTGGATCACTTTGTAAGAGCAAATTAACAATACATTGTACATTAATACCTTTCTGGGTTTAGGCTTTGATTATAAGAATGCTTACCTGTGCCTGGAGCCTGCTTTCCATTAGCTCCTGCAGTGATGGGATAATGTTTGAATGACCCAACTAAAGGAACGAGAAAGACTCAGTCCAAGAATGGGCAGGAAGCTATTTGCATGGGAAAGAATGTTGTAGTTCTCCCCCACCTCTGTGGCTGAACCAGAACTAGCTTGGGTCATTTAAGCTTAGAGTTCTCAGATGTTGATGATGCAGATGTTTTGAACTGGACTTCAGTGTCCAGAAGCCCCTGCATCTCCAGTTGTGAGAACTAATAAAAAATATTTGGACAGCCAAAAGTTGATCAGAACTGATTTAAGGTACAATCTTGTGCACATTCACCTGGCAGTAAGGTCCATTGAAATTGTGCATTTTATATCTGTGTAAAATTGGACCATTAGGCAGTGTTTTTTTTTGTTTTGTTTTTTTTTAGGAATAAGCTTTGCTGGACATAGTGTGAATTACTTCTAAATAAACATGTGTAGGAGTGTAAAGGGCAAAAAAGGGTAATATGGCAGCAGTAGGGCAGCCACAGAGAATGCAGTTGTTGTTTTAATTGTTTCCCATTACACAATGCATCTCACTGAATAACGGTACTGTACTAACACATGAGTCTGCATCTCACACAATGCATCTCACTGAATAACGGTACTAACACATGAGTCTGCATCTTTTCACAGTTCTTATGCCAGGCGATAGCTGCTGTGCTAGCTCCCTAAGCCAAATAGTCATACAATCATAGAGTCACAGAATCATAAAATAATGGAGTTGGAAGGGGCCTACAATGCCATCAAGTCCAACCCCCTACTCACTTCAGAAATCAAAATCAAACTATATCTGATAGATGGCTGTCTGGTTTTCCTCTTGAAATCCCTCCAGCACTGGAGTACTCACCAGCTCCCATGGTAATTGGTGCCACTGTCATACTGCTATAACAGTTACAAAGTTTTGGGCTTCTTGTAACTTGAGTCTGTTGTTACATGTTCTTCACTTTGGGGTGATCGAGAAAAGATCCTGCCCCTCCTCTGTATGACAATTGTTCAAATATTTGAAGAGTGCTATCTTATCTCCCCTTGGTCTTCTTTTTTCAAGGCTAAACATGCCCAGTTCTTTCAGTCTTTCCTCATAGGGCTTGGTTTCCAGTCCCCTGTTCATCCTTGTTGTCTTCCTCAGAGCCTGTTCGTTTGTCTGTATCATTCATAAATTACAATGTCCAAAACTGGACACTATTCAAGAGGAGGCCAAGTCATCTTACATGTGTTTGTGACAGAACACATAGGAAATACCTAGGTGAGTGAATGCTTTATCCTCATCAGCATTAGTATGCCAGATGTGTAACAGCTGCTGATGGAAAATTGGTTCCTGCCTAATGCACATATAATATAAAGAGGAACCATAGTGTACTAAAATAGTAATCTTCTTTAGAAACAGGATGAGGCTGTTTGTTTGATCATAAGCTTCTTCTCAAGCACCCTCTCCCACTTGTGGGGGTTGTGCACAAATCAGCCCCACCACACTATCCCAAATATCAGTTCTGGAGTAACTAGTTGAACCTTTGTGCACATATGCCCATATTTCCACCAAAGCTCTCTCTAGATCCATTCTTCACACAGTTTATTTTTTATAATGACATTTACCTTTGAAAGATAAAGCAGTGTTAAAAATAACATAATTTTCCTTGTGTGTATACGTGCACAAACATATTCCCCCTAAAAAAATTGTTCAGGATTTTCACAAGTCACCACGGGCCCAGAAGCTGCTGTGTGAATATCCCACTTTAGCCCAGTCTTAAGGATATTGGAACAGGGGTCTTTTGGGGTATAATGAGTTAACTTCTGAATAAATGTGCTTAAAGTAACGACACTAGTCGCATTGAATCAATAGCACTGAGTAGATTTAAGCAAATAATTTTGCCATCCTAAGCAGTTTGCAGATTGCAACCTCATATCTTTGATCACTCTCCCAGAAGCATCACCCTAATGGAATATTTCTGAGTTAATCACCAGCCTGAATCATCCATATGAGCTCTAATATCAAATGTTTTCTGACAGAGCAATCATATAATGTCTGTTCCAAACCAAGTTACACTAAATTCAGTAGGGTTTGCCAGGAATAGGATCAAAGCCCCAACTAGTAGTTTCTTATATCTTATGCTTCCCATTTGTGTAGTTTCATTTAATTCAGACAAAGGCAGTAGGCCGGTTTCCCTCTAGGAACTTATTTCTTTCTTATTTTTTTAGTTTCATGTGCGGGGTTTTATTTTAATAGAACTGATCATCGTGCAAAACTAGACTAAGGACAGAACAAGTGAAATAATCAGAAGAGTCATATGATTGCCTTTGATTATGAAAATATATTTTCTGTAATAAAACAGACATTTTAGCATTGACACCGGCAAAGCGGGAAGGTTGAACAGCTTCCAATTATGGATTCGTTGGAAGAAGGTCACTGATTCCTAGTCCATTTGAGCTTTGGGCAGATTAAAATGAAATGCATAATTACGAAGGCATAGCTGTGGGTTGGGTGTGGTTCCTGCCTATTCAGGAGCAAGTGCTGCACAGGATGAAATATGTTAGATGCCTCATCACACAAACGAATGTATAGAAAGGAACATAAACTGGCCTTCATTCACTAGAGGTCATTCACTCAAGAGCCATCTTTTCCTACATTTCTAACTTTTATTCTATATACTTGTCGGATTTCTTGTGCTCCCTTGTCTGTCATGTTGCTGCAACTGAGGCTGTATAAAGCTCCTTTTGTCTCCATCAGCTGCCCTACATTTCTCAAACAAACCATATAATGCAGGCCTTTAATCTCAGGGGAGGCATTAATCAGAGTCAGGAAAACTAGGTCTTCGTTGTACAGGGTGCCAGATCTGCTGGTCAGTTCTGAGGTTAAGCATAAATGATGCAAAGAAAATGTCATAGGTTAGAAAGATCGCTACAAGTGTTGTTATGCTATTGCTGTCCTGTTAGGGGGGAAAATCCTTATATTTTAACTGTTTTTTTTTTAACAACTGTAGTATTATTGGGAGGATTGCTTCAGGTTTGTACTCTCTTGCTTCTGGGTTCTTACTTTGGCCAGTGTTTCTGCATTTAACATTCTTTGGCAAAATGGTGCTGGATTATTATTGTGGACCACATCACATGTATCTGCACATAGCCTGTTTATTCAACACTCTGTGACTCCTAGTTGAATGTGTATAAAAGTCTTGTTCAAACTGGGTCCCTCCAAATGTATTGCACTACAGCTCCTAGACTACCCCAGCCCAATGACTGATGGGTTGTGGGAGTTAGCATTATTATTTTATTTATATGTGCATTTGTATAATTTGTAGGCTGTCTCTCTCTTGGGTGGACTGAGGCCCAAAGTGGCTCACAGAGTTAAAACAAGGACTACTAAAACACAATAAATTACAAATTAAAAAGCAATTATATTACTGACCAGGCTCTGTGGATGTTGCCGTGGGGGAAAACTGGTATAAACTATTTCTAGGGAGAAGTACTTTTTTGGCTGGGGGGGGGTGATGGAAGGAGGTATGAAGGTTCAATCTGTGGGATGGTTTATACATGTACATACACCACCCATCAGTGCCACAATTGTGGCATGTTTGCTTTTTTTTTAAATGCGGGAGGAATTAGGAGCCCCTTTCATTTCTTTTTAGTTACCGTTACTCTGTTTTTCTATCTCGTGGAAGAATGGTGGTTCTTCCTTAAGAACCATTTGTCTGTGGTCCAAAATCTTCTGACTTTTCTGTTAGTAAACTAGCAGCTTATGAGTAGTCTTAAAACAAGCTACCAAAAGCTAACTAAGGGCTTGGCTACACACCTTAATACTTCTGGGTTTTGTATCAGGTTTAGCACATTTGAATTAGATTTTAAAATATCCATCTACACAATGTGCAGTCAAATGTGCAAATTTTTTTTGCCAGAAAGTGAGTTTATTTAAATACTCACAAGGAGGTGTTTATTTTAACTCAGTTATTAACTCAATTTATTTTGAATTGTTTTGGCATGTGTCAACACCTGGGTTGGAGTAAATAATGTCTGTGGTGGTCTACAGGGTTGGTCAAAATGGGTGCCAAGTACTGTACAAGGAATAGCCTGCAACCCAAAGTCTTCTTTTTTAAAAAAAAGAAAAAGAAATGCATTTCAGTTTTATTGCTGCATCAGTCTAGTGCTACATTAGCTCAAAATGCTTTTTTTTTAAAAATGAAATATCAAGAGAATGAAGAGACTCAGGACAGGCTGCTGCATTGTCACCTCTGCAGCTGTACTAAAACTCACGATTCTTGCTGGCCCCAACCACTTCCTGGAAAATCCCCCTTGCCAGAAAGTGGACTGTGCCCTCCCTCTCATCTCTGCAGAGCTCCTGGAGGTTGGAGGAAGCACAGCGGCTAGACGTCTGACCAAAGAGAAGCCACTGCCACATATCCACCCTCTCATACACAGCCCTGGCCTGAGAGAAGACTTCATTGAGTGGACAGCTAGGAGACACTATCCCTCTTCACCTACTTAAAACATGCAGACAAGACATGGGTGGATGCAGTTTCCATGAGGACATGCATACCAACTCATAAACCATATGATGTTATATCAATTCTAAAAAACATGAGCCAGCTCTCAGTTTAATTCTACAGTGTGGCTGAATCTTAAGTTTCACTACTATTAATCTGATACATAACAAGCAGTAGATCAGTGTTAGTGTTTTTTTTTCCAACTGTAAAGGTAAAGGTAAAGGTTCCCCTTGACAATTTTTGTCCAGTCATGTTCGACTCTTCCAAGCCATAGAGCCAGCGTTTTTGTCCGAAGACAATCTTCCGTGGTCACATGGCCAGTGCGACTTAGACACAGAACGCTGTTACCTTCCCACCAAGGTGGTCCCTATTTATCTACTTGCATTTGCATGCTTTCGAACCACTAGGTTGGTGGGAGCTGGGACAAGCGACGGGCACTCACTCCGTCGCGTGGATTTGATCTTATGACTACTTGGTCTTCTGACCCTGCAGCACAGGCTTCTGCGGTTTAACCCGCAGCGCCACCACGTCCCTGATTTTTCCAACTGTAACTAGTTTAAAATGCATTTTTATGTCAAGGACGAAGTGCCAGTAAACGTACAACTAACCTGTTCTTACAGTTGCTCAGTATTTAAACCAGAATATAGTTGTACATGATATTGTTCCCCAAACCATCCATTTTCATAACTGAGAATGGCAAGATGTAGTTCTGTGAGTCATAAAATAAAACTTATAAAGTTTTTTTAGGAGAATGTCTAGTCATTGTTTGAAGATTGTACAGAAAGCCAAGAATCTGATAAAATAAGATTGAATTCTGGTTAATTCCTCTTCCTGGTCATGCAAGAGGGAGAAGCAAAAAGAGAATGCCTTGCACATCTGTGGCCAAAATCTTCTTGCTTAGTGTAGGAAATTGTATGAGAGTACATCCATTGAATCATTGGGTTTTAGTGACTCAGTCTTCCATAGGTTCCATTGATTCAAACAGTCCTGCCCTAACTGTGACTTACCATGCTCTAGTAAATTGCAACTAGAATAGGCCCATTTGAACCCATGGAACTATGGCGGAGTTGACTCACCAAATCTGCATTGATATAGTGGGTCTAGACTAGTGCAATTTCTATACTAAGCAACAGAACTTTGGCCAAGAAGATTGTTGAAATGGACCAGCTACCATGTCCCCAACACAAATCAGAATCAAATGCGCCTTCTTGGAACATTTTTTCAGCTGTTACCAATAGTCTGCCGATTTACAGGAGATGTTTGATGCAATATGTAATTGTAAACAGCCCCCTTTACTTTGTGAAATGTAAATTCCTTTAAATAAAGAAGAACTTGGGTGAATTCCACAGCTTTAGCAGGAAGCCCTGAAAATCTCTGAGAGACACAGCAGCAACATTCTGCATAGTAACAGCCAAGTTCTTACTTCTAAAAATTCCCTGTGTTTTTCCAACATATTGCTCCCTGAGAGTGTTGCTGCAGTCAGTGTGTACTGCACTGTTGGTTGCCAGTTAAGTAGCTGCTACTTTTGCAGCCCTTACAGATATGCTGTGCTTAACTTCCCATTTGCTACCGATTAGGACTTAATTCTTCTTTTTTTCCTCAGAAAGATTCATACTTGCACAAAGGACTCATGTATATATAAAAATAATATAGAAATCACTATACTGTACATTGATGTAGTTAGAAAGCTTATAACTGTGTCAGTTTCCAAACCTAAAATAAAAGAACACAGTAATCACTTATATTGATGTAAGATGATGGGGTGCCTGTGTATCTTATCACTTTACTCTGTACTAAGAATGACTCTAGAATAAAATTATATAGCAGTAGTATTGTATTAGTATTAATCTTAGTGAGGGCATACCTACTGAAATCAAAGTCTTGTATAAATTATGATGGACCTATTTGTTTGTATACTGCTTTTCTGCCTATATAAGGGACTTAATGGAGCTTGCTATGTGCAGTAAAGTCAGAACTGACTCATAGTGACCCTAACAGTGCTTTCAAGGTAAATGAGATATTTAAGGAGTGGTTTTACTAGTTCCACACTCATGGCTGATGGGAGAATTAGTATTAATCTTAATGAGGGCATACCTACTGAAATCAAAGTCTTGTATAAATTATGATGGACCTATTTGTGTGTATACTGCTTTTCTGCCTATATAAGGGACTTAATGGAGCTTGCTATGTGCAGTAAAGTCAGAACTGACTCATAGTGACCCTAACAGTGCTTTCAAGGTAAATGAGATATTTAAGGAGTGGTTTTGCTAGTTCCACACTCATGGCTGATGGGAGAATTGAGCTCAGGCCGCCTGAGTCATAATCCATCTCTCTATCTACTACATCACGCTGGGTGCCTCCAAGGTAGTTGACCGCATGCAAAAACCACTGGTTTTGGTGGATCTACTCTAAGTATTTATTGTAATGTATGAAACTATTTTATATGTAAAGCATAGCATTTCTCTCTGTCTTATCAATAGAAAGGTTCAATTCAATCACGACATTTTACTTACCTGTACAAAAATAGTTCCAAACCACTCTTCATCTAGATGAATTGGAGGGTAATGAATAAACATATGAGTAAAATTAATTATGCTAACATACATGCAACATGATAAAATATGTATAGGTTTTCTGATCTGTGTACAAAAGGAAGGGAAGGGAAAACCACTCAAAGTATACCATTTACATGATGCTATATAGACATATTTTCTAACACAGAAGGTCTTTCAGTGTAAAAGAAAAAGTACAGAATGACCCTCAAAGTATTTACATAGTAAGGGTACTAGAAAAATATACGAGGAGCACAGAAAGGATATTTGTTTAATGTGCTTTAAAAGAGAAGCATTTCTTGTTGATTTGGATATTCTCTTATTTATTAATAATCATACTAATTAATAACATTGTTGTCATTGTGATCAATTTTGATCACATTAACCTTTATAGTAACCATGCCTGGAACCGCATCTTTATTTTATATGATTTTTGTTTATGATTCAGTTATCGTTTGTATGTGATAAAGTGTTTTCTTCAAGTAAAAACAGAGTTGTTAATAGAACAGGGATGGAGCAAGCTATTTGGCAGGGGAGGAAAGGGCTTGTCTCCCTCACCTACCATCTGTGATATTGCCTTTTTGGTTTGTGTGCCCTGTTTCATGTGGACCTGCATGACAAGGTTATGCAGATGTGGCCCTTCAGATGATCTCGGCAACAAGTCCCATCAGTCTTGACCAGAATAGCCAAAGGTGAGGGATTATGGAAACTACTGTTTGAACACATTTGGAATGGGAACACAGAAGCTCACCCTGACCCAAATCAAAGTATTTTAAATTTAGATGTTAAAGGGCAGTTGATTCAAATCCTTTTCACAACAAGCTTATCAAGTGTCCTTTATTTTGATAAATGGTTTGTGCTCCCTGATTATTTTCCCCCCTTTTCCCTCTCTCTTTTCAGGTTAGGAATGGATTGTGTTAATTCCTTGTGGTGAAATGCCACTCCTATTAGATGCAGCACATCTGCTTCTAGAACAGTATTGATGGCTGACAAGTGCAGAAGCAGTCAATAAAAACAATAATTTCAGAACTGCAGAGCTGGAAGGGACCCTATGGATCATCGAGTCCAGCCCTTGTCGAGGAGGCACCGTGGGGAATCGAACTCCCAACCTCTGGCTCCACAGCCAGATACATAAAACCACTGAGTCTGATTTGAAACAAAACAAAGCCAAAAATAAAACTTGCCCAAGATGCCGAGTGAGAAGCTCCAGAGTAACGGTGAGACAGAGGAGCCTGTGCGAAAGGAAAGCAAGGCCGGGACCCAGAGCCCTCACTGCAATTCCTTACGAAGAGCTGTGGCCACAGCAGTGACCTTTGATGGAGACACCACCACTGAGAGACGGAAGAAGAGGAAGAAAGAGTCTCGTCCAGAATCCATCATTGTTTATCGGTCAGGGAATGAAAACAAGGTGGAAGAGGAACAGGGAGATGAGGACGGTGGAGAGAGAAGTTCAGAGGAAGGCTCCAAATTCTTGGGACAATCTTTGGGAGATGGTAAATACCGTACCTTGTAAAGTGGTTTTCAATGCTTGGTTCGCTTCTGTCTTAGAAAGGGTTAGGAAAGACTTTGTATGTCTTTATTTCACACTGCAAGGTGGTTATCAAATTATTATGTATTTTAACCTGTTTTTCGTCCAGTATTTGTACTAGGTGGTGCAGAAAGAAATATCTGCCTGTCTTGTTTGAAAAAGTGACTCTCGATAGTTGCACTTACAGAGATAACTATTAAGAAGAGCTGGGAAGTACTACCTTTTTCGACTATATTTCTCAGAATCCTCCAGCCAGCAGGGTTATAGGATAACTTGCTGTGATTTCCAATCCTTTTTGTAGTACAGTGGTGCCTCGCATAACAACGATAATCCATGCAGCAAAAATCGCTGCAAAGCGATTTTGTCACTATGTGATATTAAAAAGCCCATAGGAATGCATTGAAACCCCTTCAATGTGTTCCTATGGGCTTAAAACGCACCTTTAAGTGAAAATCCTCCATACGGTGGCCATTTGCGCTGCCCGGTAAGTGAGGAATCCATCCCAGAAAACATCGGGCGGCCATTTTGGAACAGCTGATTAGCTGTTGGAAAATCATCGCTATGCGATGATCAGTAAGCGAAACAGTACCAATCATCGCAAAGCGATTTTTTCCCATTTAAAACATTGCAATACGATTGCAAAAGCGATCGCAAAATCTTCGTCGCTATGCGATTTCGTCATTAAACAGGGCGCCCTTTGAGCGAGGCACCACTGTAGTTTATAACATTAGCTTCTTCCCTGCCATACTAAATTGACATTTGTAATGAACTATACACAACAGCCCCCACCCCTTTCCCCTGGTTAGCCACAAGCAGTTCAAAGTGTTATTTATTTATGCATTTATTGTGTCAACTTACATTTACTTTGCACTTACTTATATCTCATTTGCTATTTCAAGAGATCCATCTGGAGTTCTTCCCCATCTGCTTAGGATTTAATCATCCTGAAACATTTGGTGTCATTTGCATACTTGCTTCAGTTTAGATAATTCAAGAATGCTAAGTGGTCTCCTGTGGCACCTACCCCATCTACCTACGTGGGGATGAGCCTCCATCAAATGACAACCACCCCCAAACAATCCAGTTAAAGGTTGCTGATTAAATTGTAAATGGGAGCTGAAATCCCATGGTGCTGTGATAACTGACAATATCAGAAAAATAAACAGCAACATCCCCTGGCACTATTCACTTTTACGGGGAGCTCTCAATGGGATGACCATAGCACTTTCACTGCTTCAGCTACTTCACAATACATGACAGCAACAAGCAATTTGACAGCTGCAAGGCTTGCTGTGGTTCATTTCCAGCAATCACACACACTGAAAATTAACCAAAATGTAGTGATCCTACCCTCACAAAAAAAACAGTGGTGCCTTGCTAGGCAATGATAATCCGTTCCACTGAAATCGCTGTTTAGTAAAATCATAGTTTACCGAAAAGCATTTCCCCACGGGAATGCATTGAAACCTGTTTAATGCGTTCCAATGGGGAAGAATTGTCGTTGTCTAGCAAAGAATGGCCATAGGAAGCCACTTTGCGAACCGACGATCAGCTGTTTAAATAACTATCTTGCAAAGATTAAGTCCCGAAAACACCTGTTTTACGAGCACAGAGGGAGCTGTCAAAATTGGTGTCTAGTGAAAATTGGTTTGCGAAGCAGGGACCAAACATTATCCAGCGAAATTCCCCCATAGGAATCACTGTTTTGCGAATCGCTATAGCATTCGCAAAAAGTCAATGTCTAGCAAAAAAACCTGTCATGCGGGGTAACTGTCTAGCGAGGCACCACTGTAATAAAAAAAGCAGAAGCACATGACTGAACTGAATCCATTGCCTTGACATTACCAGCCTCAGACTATGCCCACCTGAGCTAGCTGGCCAGGCATACTTTGTTAGGACATGTTTGTGTCACGAAGTTAGGTCCAAGTGATACTTGTTTTGAAACAACTGTGTTTGGTCATTTATGGTAATTTTTCAGATTACAGTGGTGCCTCGCATAACGAGCGCCCCGTTTAATGATGAATCCGCATAGCGATTCATTTTTTGTGATCACAAAAGTGATTGCATTGCAATGTTCCCTATGGGGAAAAATCGCTTTGTGATTTTTCCCCATAGGCTCCCGGCTGGCATTTTCGCGGCCAGCACTTCGGAGCGGCCTCGAGGGAGAAGCTTCAAGGATAGATTTAAGGAAAAAGGAAAAAGAAGTAAGAAAACACAATATAATACTAGTAGCACAGTTTTACTCATGTCTATCTTAAATTCACCTGAGCTGAGTTAGATAGTATGAACTCATACTAAGTAATCACAGAAATGCAATCTAAAAATACCACCAAGGAACAGGGATGAGTCTGTCCTGAGGATAAAGCAGACAGATGCCACAGAGATAAGGGTAAGAGAAATCTTAAATGATAACTTATCTTAAAGGAAGCTATAGGGAGTGTGTGTAAGATCTTATTGCTCATTTTAAAGCATATTTATTCTTATACAAATTCCTTTCAATTTTCTTCTATGCAATTCCTTACTTCCAGAGGAGTTTGTGTATGCGTGAGAATTTCTTTTCTGATTCTTAATACAGTGGTGCCTCGTGTAGCGATCGTTCCATTTAATGAAGAAATCGTTTTGCGACAATGTTTTTGCGATCGCTTTTGCGATTGCTTAGCGATGGTCCCAATGGGGAAAATTCGCTTTGCAATGATGGCAGGGAAGCGATCATCGCAAAGCCCCCATTTTCAGCCAGCTGATCGGTGGTTCCAAAATGGCCGACGGGTAAACAAAATGTCCACCCGTTGTGTTGCCTCGCTTTAGAGGCACCGAAAATGGCCGCCCCTATGGAGGATCTTCGTTCAACAGTGAGTTTTAAGCCCATAGGAACGCATTAATCGTGTTTTAATGCGTTTCTATGGGCTTTTTTGTTCTGTTTAGCGATGCTTCCAGATAGCGACGATTAATCCGGAACGTGGCTATGTGGGGCACCACTGTAGATTTTTTTTCATTTTTTGAGCACTGTAACTCAAAAAATGTCACCAAATTTAGAAGCGAGTTGACTAAACAGCATCAGGAAAATAAACAACAACATCTCCTAGCACTCTTGACTTTTCCTGGGAGCTCTCTGTGGGATCACTGGAGCTCTTCCACTGCTTGAAACAGGAAGCAAAGTGCCACGGCCACGCTAGACATTGTTCCACTGTGGCACCCCCACCAAAAGAAAGAGAAAACAAAGAAGAAGGGGACATCATGGCACTTATTGTCTGCCTTACTGGAAGTGATAAGGAATGGCACAACTGTGTGGCACACTCCCATGCCCACAAAGCAGAGGAGAGTATGGCAGCAGCAGCACCATTATGGAGCAGCTCTGTGCCCCCAAGAAGGGGAGGAGGAGCCCATGGGCAGAGTGAATGTGAGGCAATGCTGCCTGCCCTGGGCACCAAAAGTGCTACTTAGGGTTCTGCTTTTTTTAATAGCAACACCACCTGATTGAGTAACTATACAGACATAACTCAGTGTTATGCAAGCAGTAGTACTCATCGCACTAAGGTGGAAGTGTTGTTCATAAAGCACACCCACGGGCAGATTGTGCAGTCAGTCCAAAATGGGAACCATGCACCTGATGTTGCAATCAAATTATACAATCCTTGTTGTCTGGGTAGAATGCCTGCTACATTTAGGCAGGCATAACGTTACCCTACACCTATTTCAGCCCATGTTTTCTTTCCACTCTTTTATTTGTTTTCTTGCATGTAGGCTGCTAGGTATTGGGAGTTAAGATGCAGGTCAAATAAGGTATTTTGAACTTCCATAGAATATATAGGTCTGTCCTTGTAGGACAAAACTCTGAGAAAGTGAACCATGTTTCTTAATTTTTATTCTGACTGTTAATTACTATTTGGATTAGGGGGGAAAACCCTTAAGTTCTCAATACATTCATTCCCTCTCCTTGTTTTGTTTCCCTTTTTCTTAAGGCAGGGATGGGAAGCCTCTGAAAGTTGGGATGGGCAACACCGATCAAAAGTGCTACAGGCATTAAATTTCCTACTGTGTTGGTGCAACATGTCCTGTGCCATTTTTTTCTTTTATAAAAGCTCATGATTTCCATGCCCATGATTCCTTGTTCACAGATGGAACTGCAATTCCAGGAGATCCCCGGGAACAGGGAATGCATTCCTTCATGTAAAGCAAGAGTGGGCTACATGTGGTCCCCAGGGAGGTCCCGTTTGTTTTTTGTTGTTATGCAAAGGGATGTTCTACAATAATCCCACAGTTTCACTCCACAGACATATACTTACAGATTCCTATATTTTGCTCACCTGGAGCAGAGCCTGCCTCCAAGGCTCCAAGGTTGTCTCAGTGCCTAGCTCCCTTCTACTGATATACTAAAAAAAGCTGATTTAGTGCTTCTTGGGTGTTGTCAGTCTCTCTCTGCCCTTTAGGCTCTATAGAGGGTGCCTCCCGAAGAACTACAACTGTGACAGCTTCCTATTTTTGAGTGCCTCAAATGCCCTCTAATTTCAGGGCTCTTGTTTTTTTTTTTAAATGGGCCATTGTTGTTGTTGTTTAGTCGTTTAGTCGTGTCCGACTCTTCGTGACCCCATGGACCAGAGCACGCCAGGCCCTCCTGTCTTCCACTGCCTCCCGGAGCTTGGCCAAATTCATGTTGGTCGCTTCGATGACACTGTCCAGCCATCTCATCCTCTGTCGTCCCCTTCTCCTCTTGCCGTCACACTTTCCTAACATCAAGGTCTTTTCCAGGGAGTCTTCTCTTCCCATGAGATGGCCAAAGTACTGGAGCATCAGCTTCAGGATCTGTCCTTCCAGGGAACACTCAGGCTTGATTTCCTTTAGAATTGATAGGTTTGTTCTTCTTGCAGTCCAGGGGACTCTCAAGAGTCTCCTTAGGAAATCATTGGGGTTGGGAATCATTGGAACAAGTGCAGCACTCCAAGCTCCAGAGACTTGGATATCTGATGCATGCAGCATCAGATATCCAGAAATTGCCCTTATGGCTTTAAAAAAAGAAACTGGGGGGGGGGGGCACTGCTACAGCAAATAGGATTTGGGGCTGTGGCAAGGACCCAGGGGGCCACACAAAATGATGACCAGGGTACAGGGGGGACTCTGGGTCTCTCGCCTTAAGCTATGTGGTATGGTTCAGTTGTTTGGAATGCATTTCTAGGTCTGCCCTCCAAATGAGAATCTAAATAGCTGCAGTAATTGTAGTGTGACTAGACCAGACTCTTTAGTTCTCCATTAACTAAGGCAGGATCCTTAAAATTCACATGATCCTAAAAAAATAAGTGTTAATTTTAGGTGCTGGATGTCACAGGAGCATTAACTACAGGGCAGTATGAAGCCTAAGTTTGATAGAATGTTCAAAGTAGAAGGCTTAGGTAAAACAAGCCAAATTCCTCAAAAACATTCATGTTTATACTTCCCATTTTCCAGTTTTGCAAGTTATATTTAGAAGGGTACAAAATATAGTCAAACTCATTGCATAAAAATGAAAGGGTGGCTTGTCTTGTTACGTTGTCTTGCATTGATTTAGCTTCTCTCTGTTTCCAGGTTCTTGGGCGATGCCTTTAGACAGCAGGTATGTGACTTTAACTGGCACCATCACACGAGGAAAGAAGAAAGGCCAGATGGTGGACATCCATGTCACACTGACAGACAAAGAGCTGCAAGAGCTGGCAAAGTCAAAGGAACCTCCGAAAACAGAAACTCCTGAAGGGAAAAATACTTGTGCAGTTGGTCTGGATAAAGGCCCCCATGTCTTTCTCTGGAGCCTTGCCTGTCTCCCGGTCATCTTTGTCATGTCCTTTGTGGTTTCTTTTTATTATGGGACCATCACCTGGTACAATGTCTTCCTGGTGTACAATGAAGAGAGGACCTTTTGGCACAAGATAACCTTTTGCCCCTTTCTAATCATCTTCTACCCTATCATAATCATGGCGGTGTCCTTCTCCTTGGGCCTCTACACTGCCCTGACTCAGATCTCCTGGGCTTTTGGGGACTGGTGGCATGCAGTGAGGGACATGGAGAAAGGATTCTGTGGCTGGCTCTGCAGCAAGATGGGCTTGGAAGACTGTTCGCCTTACAGCATTGTGGAGCTACTAGATTCTGACAACATCTCAGGTAGCCTGTCAGCTAAAGGATCAGCTCAGGGGGAAGAAATTTCAGCTGTCTAGCCTTTGCTTTAAGCGACACCTGACTGTCCATGCTCCTAAGTATTATGCATGTAACAACATGGGTGCCAAGAAGCATGCACATAGCCTTAGGCAATTAAACTCTGCAAACTAGTTCAACTATGCAGGAAAACTGCACCTGGAGGGACAGTCCTTCCAGGATAATACCATTTGCAAATGGAGGGGTGACCATATGTCTAAAAATCCCCCCTGCCGGTTGTCAAAAGTTACCTTTTTATGGAAAGTAACTACTCCAGGAGAAGAATTTTACCTTTGCTCTATTGTTTACTTACAAGTATCCAACATAGTATAATACAGGCACTCTTTTATTTCTCAAAGACTGATTTGTACCAACCGAGGTGCCACTGATGGACTACATGTTTGGATGAACAAAACAAAACAGTTTCCATGCACATATTAAAAACAATATAAACAAAAAAGGCTAGGTGGAAAGTTGTTTTCTGGTGGGCTTATTTGGTATGTGTCGAGATTGTTTACCTTTTCATTTCAAGTTTCAAACCTTCAAGCCCAGCCCTTACCCAGAGGCAAATATGAGTCAGTCAATAACAGCGTTTCCACTCAATTCCAATGATTTTTATAAAATGGGCCTTCAGTTCTTAAGTGAACAAGAAGCATCAAGCTGCTGACTAAGATTCTCCTGTTCCTTGTAAAATAAACATGCAGGGTTGACTTGTCATTCTGCTGGCCTGATCATTGTTTCTGGTCAGGTTTTATTACAGCACATTATTTCATGACAAAGATTCTGTTTGATTGGGATTCCTTTATTGGGAGCAGAATGGGAAAATACATCCTAAATCATCTTCCTTTTGCAAAATAGATCTTCCAGTGTGAGTATGCTGATGCAATCTTCTAGTTCACTGGTTCTTAACCTTTGTTACTCAGATGTTTTTGGACTGCAACTCCCAGAAGCCTTCACCATCAGCTCTGCTGGCTGGGGTTTCTGGGAGTTGCAGTTCAAAAACACCTGTGTAATAAAGGTTAAGAACCACTGTTCTAGTTAATACCTGCCTCCTGTTTTTGCTGGAAATCAGAACCTGTGCTGACAGTTGCAATGTTAAATGCACTTTCTTGAGATAAAGTGGTCATTAAAGTACCCCCCCATGCAACTAGCCTGTAGCTTGTGGGAATACAGGCAGTGTCATAACATGGAATTCCTTGGAGTATGATTTCTAGGGAAAGAAGTGGGAAATCTGAATTCTGGCAGCCATGTCAGGCTCTCCCTCAATTTCTTCCAACCCATTAAATTATATCATTGGTCCCTGTTTGGTCACTACACATTTTAAATATATATCTGTTTGCCGAAATGATTATTGACTCTGTTTTGTATGTTGGCACAAAGCCAAGATGGATGAGAAGCATTCCTTAATAATGACTGTAGATGGGTGGGATGTACAAATGAGTAAGATGTGCTGGTAAATGGATTATGTTATGGTAGATTATTAGCGTAAGCCTTACTGATCACAGAGACCATACTATGGAAACAGAAGGGAGCTCATACTGTTGATGATACAACAGAATGCTCAGTTTTGCTCTTCAAGTGGGGCAGACGCTAGTATTTGGAGGTGGGAAGTTTTACAGCTTTGACATAAATTTTACAATTTATTCTGGAATATGCACTGTTGGCCTTCTTTCATGGTCTACCCTAGGCATAGGTCTATAGACATAGAGTTTACTGAGGTAAACAAGCACTGGTGCTATTTGTATTTGCCTCCTTTTATGGTGCTATTGTGTTTGCCTTTCTTCCTGAATGCGACAGACTCTTTTTCTCTTCTCTCACAGCTTTAGCTTTAGTTAGCCTAATACTGCTAGGTGCCTCTAAGGCCTACTGACTTTGTTAAAAGCCATGTTATTGAAAAGCACAACACTCCTTTCTTCCTCTGCTTGCAAATAATCACCGATAGTATGTCACTGAATGCATGCAGATGTACCATGACTTGAGCCACTGATCTTGTCAGGAAGGGCGTTTATCATATTCTCTCTAAATCAAAGTAAAGTAGGGAATGATTCTGCACATTTGCTGCAGACCTTCTGTGTTCACAGGATGAACTGATTGCCAGTCCAACCTCTTGTAGGGAGGTTGCAGTTCTCCAATCTTTAAAATTTTTTTTTCTTTCAAGAGTAAAAAGTTGGTGAAAAACTAACTGTATTTTGAAAGGTCAAACAGTCTGCCTAGAGCATGATTGGCATGGCAAGACTGAAGACTCAGCAAGGCTGGGGAAAGTTACTGTTTTGAACTACAGATTTCATACTGGCTAAGGAATTAGGAAATATTATTTCCAAGGTGAATCAGTGTTTAGTTCACTGGTTGTCTGCCCATCATTTATACTGCTAGGATGGGGAGATAGGGCCAGCCTGAGAATCCCGATTATCCAGAAATTATCCAGAATGAGAAAGGTAGTTACTTCAGTTATGGAGGAACATCAATTTTATTGAACAATAATTGTACATCATTGTTTATTCAGTTTATCAAACAGCAAGATATGCTCTTGAGGATTTTCTGCCTTGCATATTTAAAAAAAACCCAACAAGCTCCAAATATAGTGCATATAGACATAGAAAGGGAAGAGAGATTTCCTGTTCTACCTCATGCAGCAAAATGTTTTGATCTGGATATGGTAAGAGGAATTTGAGAAAAATCTGCTGTGGCTCATGTTTTAATGCTACATCTGTGTGCTCCCATTTGTTATCTTGCTGGAATTCCCCAAAGAGGCTTAGTACTGTAGCTTGAAAATGTGGACTTACTCCTATGTTTCACTGGGAGATTTAAATACATTGTTCCTAGCATTTGTTCAATTCCCATCTCACAGTCCTTGATGTCCAACCTCAAAATGTACCACTGTTTTCCCTTGCTTGACTTGTATTAAAGTGCTGTTGGTAGTAGCTTTGTATTTTATCATTGCTTTCTTCTTTCCCTTTCTTGCTGTATGTTTTCTAGGTCCTTCTGTTCTCAGCCCCGCTCACTTTAAGTAGTCCTGTACTGAAATCTTGGTATTTCAATTTTCTATCTTCTAAGTTGTAATTATGTTGCCATTAGATGCTCTACTGCAGTGGTCCCCAACATTGGGCCTCCAGATGTTCTTGGACTTCAACTCACAGAAATCCTGACCAACGGAGGTAGTGGTGAAGGCTTCTGGGAGTTGTAGTCCAAGAACATCTGGAAGCCCAAAGTTGAGGACCACTGCTCTAATGGAATCAATAACATTTCTCACCCATTTTAAGTAACATTAAGAAGCACAAGAAGCAATACACAGAAAATGTGTGCACTATTCCTTTGCCAGCAAAGATCAGCTGGTAGTTTTTTGTTAATATCAGAAGCATCTGTCAGGGGTTGTACTTTATCAAAGGGGCATTTGTCATTTTTAAAATCAGAGTGTAAGTATCCTAGCTGGCTGGATAGCTCACTAGCTTAGCTGTCAGGCCGTAGAGCCAGGGGTTGGGAGTTTAGTTCCCCATCAGGCTTCCTGAGAGTATAGCTGGCCTCTGTGGCCTTGGGGCAAGCTGTACAGTCCCAGGGTGCCCCCTAGAAAAGTGGAATGGTAAACCACTTCTGAGTAATCTATACCTAAAAAATGCTGAAAGGGGTTGCCATAAGTCAGAGTTGACTTGACAACACATGATTAATGTTATTGGTAAAAGTACCCTAATTTCTGATAAAACCCCATTGTTAGTCATGGAATTTAGAAAACAACAAATTACACAAAAGCTCAGCAAACCAATTATGTATTTGCATTGAGGATACAGGATATAAATTATGTACACAAATATATCTCCAATCCCTTGTCCCCCAACCTTCCTTACGTACCTTCATAATAGAGCCAGTTCTAAACAGTGGGTTGGATCCAGTCTTAAGGCCTGTATAGGCATTTGAGAGTAGAGGGGAAAGCGGCAAGTGCTTTAGATCCACCCTCCTCCACCCTTGATTTTCTTCCATTGAAGGGAAAGTTCTGAAAAACTACTGTAAACCTAAACACAGTTGTAGAGGACAGTGCGACTGCTTTTTTGAGGGCTTCCAATCATACAAAATGTTGCAGGTTTTTTGGATTTATGGTAAATTTCCTTTTGCTCTGCAGTAGAAGTACAGAGACTCCCAAAAGAAAATAGCTACAAGTTCCCCAGATGTTCCACCCCATTCTCACTACCTGGCACTTAAACTCTCAATAACTCAATCTGGGACATTTGTAGGAGAAAGAATAAAAAATATTTCTTTGCTTGGAGTTGCTTGAAATTACAAACTTGTTTATGCTGCTTTTTTAAAATTTTACTGTACATATACTTAGCAAACAACTAAGCAGACCAACAGCAAGCAAACAACTGCTACCAACGCAGGAAAAATAGGAAAACAACCAGCAGAAAGGTGAGAGTCTCATTGGATTCAAAGGCTGGAAGGGACAATTAGTGCAATTAGTCCAGTTAGTGCTGGACAGATATACAGTTACCTCAGCCCATAAAAGTCCCTCCAAGTCACATGAACTATAGACAGCATGGGAGGCTGTGAATAAAGCCAATACAGTGGTGCCTCGCTTGATGATTGCCCTGCATTACGACAAATCGCAATTGCGATTGCAAAACGATGGTCTAAATGGGGGAATTTCGCTTTGCGATGATCAGTTCCCTGCTTCGGGAACCAATTCTTCGCAAAATGACATTTTTCTAACAGCTGATCGGCGGTTTCAAAATGGCCACCAGGTAATTAAAATGGCTCCCCGCTGTGTTTAGGGATGGATTCCTTGCTATATAGGCAGCGAAAATGGCCGCCGTGTGGAGGATCTTCACTGGACTGTGAGTTTTTACCCCATTAGAACACATTGAACAGGTTTCAGTGTGTTTCAATGGGTTTTTTTAGTTTGCTTTAAGATGTTTTCAGTTAACGGCGATTTTCCTGGAACGGATTATCGTCATTAAGCAAGGTACCACTGTACAGAACTTTTATTTCCAGATCCCAGGATGACTTGAGTGGAAAGAGTGGAGGAGGAATATGTTCCCCAATTCCTACTCATATACAGAAACAAATGCCTCCATAGGGCTTTAGATACGATTTAATTAAGTTCCTTTGGCTTTAATGAATCTACAATATGAATACGTCTGGTGCGACTTATAGGTGTCAACCAAGATGTACACAGAAATCTTTCTAATTTGCATGCTGCTAACCTTGTGGTCATCCACATTAGAAAGTACAAGAAACCATACGCAGAAAAGATGTGTGCCATTCCTCCACCAGGGAAAATAAGTTGGTGATTATTTCCTCATCCAAAGCATCCAACAAGATCTTACCTGATTTTTAAGAAAGGAGTATTTGTCGTTCTTCAGCTTAAGTGTACTATGATTTGGCTTTTAAATAACAGTTTCTAGATCAGGCCTGGGGAATATTGCTAGCTATATATATATAGTTGCATAAGATAACTCTCTATCATTTTATAATAGTTGTTTTGAATACAGCAACATCATTATTCCCAATCTACTGTATCTCCCTAAAATTATCCTTCCCCACTAGCAACCCTACTTGTTTATTATGAATTGCAACTGATTGTACAAAACAGAATTCAGTTATACATACAAGCTTATAAGAAGATGCACATGAAACGCATATGAGGAGAAATACCATGGGGAAAAAGGGTTGAGAACACAAAAGGTGAGTTTGAAATAACAGCATTCATGTTCCCTCATGGAACTAAATTAACTGTCAAACAGTTCCAAGAATGTGGGCTGAAAATTTAGATATCTTCCTAATGTTTCTCATTTCCTCCTTTCATGTTTTGGGCTGTAGTTCTTCTGTATCTCTTGTTCTATGTATGGTCATTCAGGGACTTCCAGTTTTATAAGACAACAAAATGGCTTCCAGAATCACACCACAGGTTAACTTCCGGCACATAAACTAATGCCAATAAGGAAGCATAATTTTTTAAAAATCAGG